CCCCCCCCCCCCCCCCCCCCCCCCCCCCCCCCCCCCCCCCCCCCCCCCCCCCCCCCCCCCCCCCCCCCCCCCCCCCCCCCCCCCCCCCCCCCCCCCCACAGCAATGATGCATGACTGACTGACGACGGTCTCTATTTCTTTTAACGACCGATTAGCGTATTGTTTCTTTTCTTGAAATTTTCTATATGCTTATAGTGTATGATTGGTGAATCAGTATCTATTTAATGTCTATGTTGTATTTATAATCCTAATCAGAAAGTGAGTGCGACTAGGCATAGTTCGAATCTAGAATTCTGATTAAAATTATGACTAGTCCAATTTGAAATTGCACTGAATCTGAATTATGTATGACTGCAACATCTATGTCAATTCGTTCAATTTTTCTGCTGTTTTTTTCTAAACAAAAAATGATGATCTTCCACTCGATGACTAACCGTGCCTCATATATAAAGATAGAAAAATCAACAGGTAGAGAGCACGAGCGATTATCGTCAGTGATATGATCTACGTTATGTTTGCGCTAGTCAAGCTAACTTTCCCTATTTCCCGCGTTTGACTCATGTGGTTAACAGTAAGGCTTGTCCAAGCGTGACGCTGTGATCTTTTTGACACAGTAATTTGAGCTTTTCTCAAAATGTGTAAGAGCTAGAAACTTCGTTCCACCAATCAACGCAGCTCACCATACTCTACCTTTAGTATAAAACATGGTTAAAGACTCGAATTTTTTGAACCGTTTTTCGGCGCGCGATGCTGTGGCAAAAAAAGGCCTTAAATTAGAAGTTCTTATTAAAAGCTAATTTGCTGTAAATTTAGAAGAGCTAATAAAAAGCGTCTCCAGCAAAGTTTTTAAGAGGAGTAAACGAGCATATCACCGATAAAAAAAAACTGAAGTTTGTTTAGAGTTAAAGAAATGTGCCTTTTCGTATTCAGCACACTGGATAACCTGAAAAATTTTCTATTTTTAGCGAGGGGTATCGTTAAAAAGTTAAGAAAAATTTTCAAACAAATTGACGCAGAAAAATCCTCATGGTAAAATTAAACAATTTTAAAAATTTTTCTTACTTTTTGGCGGTACCTCTCGCTAAGGATAGAAAATTTTCCAGGTTATCAAGTGTGCTGAATACGAAAAAGCACTTTGCTTTAACACTAAATGAACTTTAATTTTTTGTCGGTGATATGCTACTTATTGCTAAAAAAGAATCTTTCCAATGAGCTTTCCATCCCTCAATAGTTGTGTTTATCGTCGTGAGGCTGTGACACACTTTTTTCCCAACAAAGTTTGAAGCACTAACCATTGCTCAAAGGATTTCATTTTCATATCGGACTTAGTTAGGCATGCAACGGTAGCGGTATTTTATCGGTTTACCGTAACCGGTACTACCGCTACTATTCTACTGCCGTTACCGATCCACAGGTTTTATCGTTCATTGCGGACAGATAGTATCGATTCTAGAGAGAGTGAAATTCTGTAGAGCATATGACGATGTCGTTACCGCTACCGTTGCATGCCTAGTTTTAGGCATCTGATATAGACTAACGTGAAAATAAAGCTGAAAAAATGTTTTCATTTAGAATTGTGTGAGAATCTTAAAACTTAGAACTTTATTAAAAAGGTTATTTTGCGCCTAAACTTCAAAAAAAATATACCACCTTGTCGATAATCGAATTCTCTATCGATCAGTGTGGCCTTCCATTTTTATTAGGAAAAGTATCTAGGTGAGGAAATTGAAAATACAGTTTTCAAAAAATGTAAAACTGGATTTTGGGTGCCAAAATTTAACTTTTTAAAAAAATAATATGAGATTCGTAATCAGCAACAAAAATTGCATCTAGTGATATGCTCCTTTCAGTTCTATTCTGAAATAATTTTTTCAAAAACTTGATCACCGAAGTCTCGACTTACGTGGACAAGCCTGTATGCCTTCCCGAGTTACATGTTTGACTACATACTGATCTCTGCTGTAAGTCGTGGTGCACAAATGTTGATTACAGATTTGAGAGCAACGAGAACGATGGACCTGTAACGCTACACGATCAGGAAAAACTGTTAGCGTAAGTAACTGCTCATGTCAAATTAGTTTCAAGATTTCTGCAAAAATTTGAGCTTTGTGGCACTTTTTTGACTACACTAACGCAACGCCAAAAAACGTACGGTTCTTATATACGTTTTCTTGCGCGGTATTTTTTTTCGCCAAAAAATCAACAAAAACTAAAGTTTTTTTTTTGTTTTATCGCAGAATATTTTTTCTGCGTCATACTGCGTATGTTTTATCAATACAATTTTCGTAAAAAACGTTTTAGTTATCGGTCAACTTGATCAATCAATATCGCATTAAGTCGAGTGTACTTACTTGCATTTTTTACTCTAACTTCGAGAGCACAAGATACACATTATGCTCAGCTACTTTTTCAGAAAAAGATCGCCTAACTTTTTGGAGATATCGGGGCGTCAATACACACCAAAAAGGTAGTTTTTCTTTTCGTATAAAAATGAAGTGAATGCCAATAGTGGTTTCTGTTACTTGTTCAATGATAATTAATCACTATGTCTAAAATGCGTATTCACTTCATGCTAGCAACAGTTTTTAGAACAAATTGCAATAGAAAAAAGTGCTTGTCTTCAGAGTACGTTCTACTCTCATAATATTTCTAAGTTTTTTGTAGCGCATTACTAAAAGAGAGAAGACGAGGGAAGCTTTTCACTTCGACATTGTATCGTACCGCTTCGATAATATTTTTGAAATGTTATGCCATATTTGACGAAGTATAGAAATGTTTTAATAGAGCCATCTAAGTCATCCAGTAGAATTTGAAAAAACTCGTGCAGATAAAATTTTATTGCATAGCCCAGCGCGTCATTTTGCGAAGAAAATTCTTTTCTATATTTCAACAGTTATTAGTGGATCATTTTGCTTGATACATTTTCGATATTTTTATTGAAGCTTAACATCCCTAGAAAGGTATGTAGAATATGACTCTTTTAGCGATAAAATCTGGGATTCTATGTAATTTTTGATATTCTACACGATGAAAGTATTGAATTTTTTTTTGCGGCTTTTATGACTAATGTCAAAAATGCGCACGCAGTAAGTTTGCAAATTCGGGAGGAAACAAACTCTTTAGAGCTAAAGATATGTAACGTAATCTATGTTACTTACGTATACATTTTCTTCGCTTTGTATATACCCCTGTGTAGTCACTATGATCCCTGTGATCACACTATGTCAAGAAAATACATTTTGCCTGAAACTAATTTTCGAACTCACAGTGATCGATGAGAAAGAGTGACAGGGACTGTACACAGTTTTTTGAAATTGGTGCGTGTTAGAGGATAGGGTTTTTATTTAAAAGTGCTGCGTGTTCTTTTTCAACATTATATGACTTTTATGTCCGTATAAACCAGGCGGAGTTGGATGGAAAGGTATACTGAAAAAAGGTAAAAAGACATATTAAATGACTAATATTAAAAATCAATTAAATATTTTTCTTGTTATAAAATAGAAAAATATTAAAGTTTTTTGCTTAGATTAGAAAAATATTAAATTATTTTATTCAGATCAGGGATCCCAGATCGTCTGATTTTAGCAGAAAAAGTCTTATTTTGAGACTTTTTTCTGCCTCGTTTCTTATTTTCTTATTTTTGAAATTTTTTCTTATTTTAGAATCTTTGTTTGATATTGAACGAAAATTTGATCTATAATTTTTTGTTCTAAAATTTTTTATGTACAACTAATCGTTTGGGTATGAGAACAAACAACGTTCTGAGGTTTTTTCTGATTTCCAACTTGTTTTTCTGATTTTTGTCTGATTTTGAAGTTTTTTTTTCTCATTTCTGTCTTTTAGATCTGGGATACCTGATTCAGATAGAAAAATATTTAAATAAGGTCAGATTTCGCACATTCGTACCTTCTTGGTAGATTGACATCAGTTCCTTCATTTAAAATAAGATAAACGAGATAGAAAAATATTAAACCAAAACATTTCGCATAGTATAGAAAAATATTTAATTATTTTAAAATAAACGAAAAATAATAAACGAACTAATATTTAAATAAAGTGGAAAAGTATTTAATCGATTTTTAATATTAGTCATTTAATATTTTTCTTTTTAACATTAGTCTATAGACCCTGATGGAAGTACTTACAATCAAAAACTATATAACACCAAAGAAAAGAGAAAAAAAGAAAAGAAATAGAGTGTTTAAGATGATAGATCAGCTTTATTCCTATCTACTCACTTTAAACCAAAATTTTACGCAAACATTTTTCTAACGAAGAAACAAAAGAATATGTAAGACATGAGCTGCTATCATAAACAAGTTCTTTTACAGAAGCCGAATTATTAATACACGACAAGTATGCATGATGTTTATCAATATAACCTCCAATTCTGAGAACGAAGGAAAATCTCCTTCGGATCATTTTGCGATATGTTGTAGATTTCTTCAATTGCTTTACTACTTAGGTTAGTACCGACAACTCAAAAATATCCCAAAACTGTCGACTCCGTTTAAAAAAACATTTCAGATGTCTTGTACATAAGCGAAAATCTGCTGGCATAGAAGAATGGGTTTATTCACGATTCATCCCTAATTGCTCTCTCAATTCGTCCCACAAATTTTTTCCTCAGTTCGTTCCAAACAATTCGTCCCACTTTTTTTAGTCTCAATTGGTCTCAATTTTTTCTCTCTCAATTCGTCCCATCTTTTAAATACTTGAACTCCATAAGTTCTCTTATATTTAACTTAACTTACAAAAATGGAAACAAAAAAATATTATTAATACATTGTCTTTAATTCATATGAATTTTTACGGCCCTTTCAGGCATGGGCGAGTCCAAGTCCGGACTGGAAGATTTTTTGGCGGACTCGGACTTGAGTTTTTGTATTTC